CGCGACAGGCTTGATTTCCCAGAAGTCCTAAAGCTCGTGATAAAGGCAGAGGCAGACGATTAGAAGGACTTGGTGTGGAGAGGGATGAGGAGACATGACTTCTCTCTCTACAAGGAGTATGCCACTGATAGATGTCATGATTTCAAGGATTATCCCTCGTCGGAGAAGAATGAGGCCGTGGCTGAGGAAGTGAAGGAGATACGGGACATGGTGAAGGGATTAACGAGACAGGTTACAGAGATTGTGACCGCCACAGGGGCCACGGCCTACCAGGATAAACCTGGAGGGCCCTATTCACTTCGCTGGGACCGTAGGAACAACGATCCCTGGAGGAGTGTCGAGGATAGAAATCCTCGGACRCTGACTGATTATCGTACGAGGGGAAGAAAGAGAGACGATGAATCATGGCGACGTAGGGACGATGAGATAGACCGAGACCGCAAAGAACGCGAGCTGTTTGTGCGAGCAAGGAGGCTAGATGATTACCCGCGAAGCCCTCGCTATGAGGCCGATCGGGGTAGACGCGACTCCCGCGGCCGATGGGAGACAGAACAGGGCCGACGAGATGGATATAGGGACGACAGATACGAGAGATCGGACCGAGATGGATATAGGGACGACAGATACGAGAGGTCGGGTCGAGATGGCTACAGAGGAAGTAGATATGAGAGAGGAGATCGGTGGGAACGACAAGATGGGTCGCGCAGACGGTTTGAGAGTGGGGGAAAGGCGAGAGAGCAGCGCGACGAGCCGCGGGGATGGTACAACCGAGGGGACCGACGCGATGAGTCACGAGGACGATATGGCTCGGGGGACCGCCAAAATGATTCACGAGGGTGGTATGAGCAAGGAGGGTCTGGAGGAGACCGCTGCAACGATTCGCGCGGACGGAATGAGAGAGGGGGATATGGCGTCTCATCAGAACCATATCCTCAGTCGCCTGACCCCAAGGCGGCCAGGAGTTTGATCTCTAGAGGCGCAGACGACAGACCATCTACTCCCAGGAACTCTTGCGTCTACTGTAGAGGAGAACATCATATCAAGAGGGATTGCCCGGACCTCAAACGGGCAATAGATGAGGGACTTGTCGTGCTTGACGACCACAAGTATGTCAAGTGGGCAGATGATCTAGGAGATGTATCGATGTTCCCTTCGATGAAGGAGAATGTCGAAGCAAGGAGAATAAAGACGAGTAAAGGAATGGAGCCGGTCAGGAGCCAGAGCATCAAGATAACCTTTGAGGGGGATATCGCGACCACACCCATAAGGGTGGCAGCCACCAAGTCGGCAAGAGGGTCTACATCGAAGAAGACTGACACGGATTACGAGATGGCGGAGAAGGACGGGCAGCGGGTCGATGGAGAGGAGGTTATCCTTTCGCCGCGAAAGCGGGGAGTGAAGAAGTTCTTAATGAAGAGTTCGCTGGATGAGATTGACACAGTCGAGCCAGTGAGGCGGGCCCTTCGGCAACCAATGCAGTGCTCTATTCTGGAGTACCTGGCGGCATCGAAGCCGACTCGTGATGAATTACAGATGATCACGCGCAAGACTCGCATACCTCTATCAGAGGAGGGTCAAGGAGCCCCTAAAGCGGAAGCTTTTACAGTAGCAGTAACGGGGGGGACTGCCAGAGCGGATCGCATGGCGACAGTCCTTCTCGATGGGATGGAAGGTGTGCCTCCAGACAAGTTTTATATACTTGGTAGCGGGGCCGTGGATACGATTATAAACGATGGAGCGATACTCGATGCTGTGATTGATAACGGCAGTGAGGCTGTCATCATAGACGAGGACCTGGCAGTACAAGTTGGACTGGGCCTCGATAGGTCATACCTATTCGAGATAGAGACGGCTGATGGGAGAAAGCAACAGATCACTGGGGTTTGTCACAAGGCAGCCATAGAGGTCCAAGGGGTAAGAGTGACCCTGCCTGTCTTTGCAGTCAAGAACTGCAGCTCCGACCTGCTCTTGGGTGGAACGTGGCTGAGCCACGTGCATGCGGTGACGATAGAGCGACCTGATGGGAGCCAAACATTGTCCATTAGGAAACCAAACGGGACACGGGTAATGATTGAGACAGTGGAGCCCCGGGACCCGAGGAACAGAGTAACTCTCGCTGTGGGTGCGGGACCCAGTGATAAGATTAAGTCGTTACCTATCTCCGGCCGCGCGGTGCGATTTCGCGAGAAGAGATATGGACCACTGCTCACAGAGGAAGAAGGTCGAATCGTGGAGGTGGAAGATTTAGGGAGTCGGCTAATAGTGGACGGCAACTCGTACCCGAAGGAAAAAGATGAGGAATTTAGCGGTGTGGTATCCGTGTCTTTTTTAAGGGCACGGCCCCCTATGGGGGGCTACCCAAGCGACACAAGCGAGTAGCTAAAAAAGTTAAGCCAGCGGCGGTGGGCCGCGAGCGATCGGCACTGGAAGGGGTATCAGAAGAAGAGATCGCGAAAGAAATCAGAGAAAGAAAGAGAAAGGAGCCGCAACGCCTAACGGAAGAGAGAATAGCAGGGATGGACATCGGAGATGAAAATTTGACCCCACAAGAGCGAGAACGTGTGATAGAAATCCTGAAGACATGTGATAAAGCAATAACTTTCAGCGACGCGGAGCGTGGTAGGATAGACCCTCGATACGCTAAGCCAGCGAGGATTTATACGATTCCACATGTTCCTTGGAATGACGCAGGATGGAAATACGCCCAGAAGGAGAAGGAAGAAGTTATCGCTTTCCTGAAAGAAAAGATGGTTTCCCACATTGCGGAGCCGTCTGATAGCGCTTATGCTAATYGATGGTTCTTCCTACGAAAGCCGAATGGCAAGATCCGATGGATCCAGAACCTTCAGAAGGTCAACGCGGTGACGATACGAGACGTGGGCTCCGTGCCATACGCCGATTTACTGGCAGAAGGCGCAGCAGGTAGGTCAATCTATTCGGTCTGTGATATTTTCTCAGGCTATGATGAGGTACCGCTTGACCCTAGGGACAGGCACCTCACGGCTATGCATACGCCATTGGGACTAATTCAAATGATGGTTGTCCCTATGGGATGGACTAATGGGGTAGCCGTTTTTCAGAGAGCCATGGTAGCCGTCCTCAAGGACTTCATCCCTGATAAGGTTGAAGTTTTTCTGGATGACTTTCCTATAAAAGGGCCAGTAGACAGGGATGAGACAGAGGTTGTACCTGGAGTTAGAAGATTCGTCGAGCAG